GCAAGACCGATTGGGTTGGTGATACCAATACAACCATGCCCGGCGTCACCGTGACCGGTTCAGAGACATATGTTACATGGCTACGAAACCCGGACACTGCAGCAGGATTCTTCATCGCGCGACAGAGCAATTCGAGCTCTCTGTGCGTGGACATCTACCCCTTATCTTTTCTGGAGACGGGCTCATGTATTCTTATGATCCAGCGCCGACACGACATTCCGCATTTCGGTCCCTACTTCTGAAGGCACACTCTCGCTGCCACGAACGTTCGACGCGATTGCCCTTAACGGGCGCGAGAGCAAGGTACTCGTGACAGACTACACTTACGGCACCAACTCCCATGTATTGTACTCGACTGCAAGCGTGCTCTTCGCAGGGACGATTGGTAGCCGGGACGTGCTCTTCCTATACGGTGATTCGGATGAAAGCAGCGAGGTGGCGCTAACGTTGAGCGGCAATGGCGTCCGCGGCGAGACAACGGGAGTATCCTTCGGGTCTGCTGATATCGGGGAATATTCTACGATCACATTACTCTCGGGTATAACTGGCTTGCTCCCGCTGTGGGAGTCGGACACGCAGCTCGTGTACTATGCCGACCCGATCACAGCGGCGACGTTCTGGGCACCCGCAATCCCGACAAATCCCGCTGCTGATTTCGCGAACTACTGGCAGTTTGGCACGAATACGACCGCCCTGGTCGGAGGGCCGTACTTGGTGCGGAACGCGAGCATTGAGGGGAGCACCTTGGCTCTCAGAGGTGACTTGAATAGGAGCGTTACCCTCACCGTCGTTGCTCCGGATGAGGTGACATCTGTGTCGTGGAATGGCGCGACGGTGAACACTGCGAGTCTCACCGGTGGCGTTTTGGTCGGGTATTTGAATATGGGCACGAGCTTGTCTTCAGTCAATGCCCCGACTTTGACGGGATGGCGGTACAACAACAGTCTACCCGAGGTGTTGGCGAGCTTCTCAGATGCAGACTGGTTGATCGCAAACCACACGACGACAAACATCATGCCGGGCATGTTATATGGAAGTGGCCAGGTTCTCTTTGGTGTGTACATTTGTCTTGACTTTGAATGGGGGCCTTTCTTGACAAATTCTATTCAAGGATGTGACTATGGATAGTAAGTACTCTGGATTGACAAGTTCCGTATGCGAAAATTGAGGATTATATCAAGCTGCGAGAACATCGTTCTTTGGCGAGGTCACTTCACTGGTACAGGCTCTGAAACCTCGGTGAACTTGACGATTAATGGAGGCACTGGTAAGTTACCGTGCATTGATACGTGGTACCGATAGCCAATGTTGCACTTCTATTTAGCGTTTGCGGCGTCTGTGTGGATCAATGACCAATTTATCAGCTCAACCTGGGATGTGAACGCAGAGCAGACCACCCTCGTCTACACCTTCCCCGAGGGATCCGTACGCGTTGGGGAAGATAATGTAGTGACAGTCATTCAGGTGGGTCTTGCTGTTATCTGCGCCTTTTGCTTTGTTCTCATGGGAAGCATGCAGGACGGGATGGGTAACGATGAAAGCCCTAATGGTATTATTTCTGAATCTTTGACAATTACTTTTCTGAGTAGTCTGCCAGAAAAATCGCCGCGCGGAATTCCAGGATTTTTGCTCAATGGCGGGAACTTCACCGAATGGCGGGTACAAGGCAAGCTGGGAGGCTACACGGAGTAAGCGTATCCATACACTCAACCGTCCAACTTTCGTTCTCATCTTTATTAGTTACCCAGACAAAGTTCGTGGTGTCCTCAACGAGGGCGGCCTGTATGGCGAGCGTGAGGGTTGGCATCTTCCAGGCTATGACACGTCGGAATGGACTGAGCGCGATCTGTCTGAGGGCCTGCCATCGGGTGCTCCAGGTGTCGGCTTCTTCGTGACGACATTCAACCTATCAGTTCCTGCGGAGACGGATACACTCATGTCATTCCAATTTGACACAACGAACCAGACATACCGTGCGACTTTGTTCGTGAATGGGTGGAACTACGGGAAGGTAAACATCCTATTAGGTCACCGAGAGATCCTGATACTAAGACCAATCATGTACAGCGTGTAGCGAATATTGGACCGCAGACGAAGTTCCCTGTGCCACAGGGAATCTTGAACTATCAAGGATTGAAGTGAGTAGCCTCGCCTGTGACCTCAGATTGCTGATATCCTAAACATTTTGTGTCTTGTTAGTACCGTCGCCGTGGCGATATGGGCGTTAGAAGATACCCCCGTCTCGCCCACTCTCGCGCTTGTCGTTGACAACGTAATGGAGGGCGGTGTTGGCCCCATTGCTATCAATAATCCTGCATGGTCGCCACGTGGCACGGCATTGTGATATATAATCGCTGACCAAACATCTGCGGGTTCTTTGTACAGTATGGATATCATTGAATACATGATTGTAACCCGTTACTCGGTTACGTGATTCTGATGTGAAATGTAGGAATAACTCATTCAAGGTTTGCCGTGCTTATTATGCTTCTCAGCAGCGGGACTGAGAGTAGCAGTAGTGGCGAGACCAAAATCAAACGGCTCCGGAGTTTTGCAATAGCCTCCTTTATGAGCCATGCAGATTTTAAATAAAGACGCTAATGCGGGGACCGTGTGAGGCAGTTGACCTGCCGCGAGAGCCTGTAGCTTTCTCTCGAATTCTGGGAAAGTTGGGCTGTTCCAATATACCCAATTGTCGAAGAACCGAATCTCCAAGTCTAGAATGGCAGTATACCTGGTGAAGATGCGTTTCGTTCTGTGAGCACGATGCACACTGTCCCGCGCCAGTGAAAAAAAAAACACGCACCTCGCCGAGAAGGTAGAGAATATCTCTTCATAAATGTTATTCATAAAAAGTTTGGATTCGATATTATTCAATGCGAGCTGCTTAAGAGTGTCCAGACCCAGCTTCGAGAAACAAGTTACCATCTACCTTGAAATCCTGTCTCAGTATACATGCTTACCATGTCCGCCAGTCGGTACATTGACTTCGGGGAACATGGATGAGGGTATTCAGGATTCAGCGAGTGGTACTGCTCTCGTTCAATCTGTCGTTTTTCCGCACCCTGAGATGTTAAGGGTGCGAAGGCAATATGCCCTGTGTATAAGTAAAGCACGACCCACTGCCAGCTGTTATCCTTCAAATGAGAGCCAAGTCAGGACTACTGCGGTAAGAATGATCACATACGTCACGAAAGCAGAATCTTTGATGACAATTTTTCGCATGTTATGGCTGCTGGAGCCCTTCCTCGTTTGCACCGTAGAAGTACTGCCGTAGGCTACGCCCACGGAATCTGGCTCCTCAAGCTTTTCTGGCTGGATGCCGCTGCCCAATAGGTGGTCCGTTGATGCGTCAGGTAGTATTCCTTCATTCAGGCCAAGTTTTTGTATTCCTTCCGAGTTATCGTCATCACCATCATCATCGATGTCCTCTAAGTCACTGTCGTCGTCGTAGCCATAGCAATCAGTGTATGGCTTTTCAAGGGCCGGAAATTTCCCTGAATCGCGAGCAGCGACATTGATGCTCTCAGAAAATCCACCCGCCAGCACTGCAAGGAAAGAGATGTGAGTGAAATGTGCAAAGATTCAGTTGATGACAGGCTTACATCCCTGGAAATAGGGCGAGGCTGCTTTCAGTATGCGACTATTGGCGTGCACCGCACGCGGTTTGCCTACGCCTCCTGATCGTAGCCGTCGACTGAACAAGTATATTTCTACGTCGGCAAGGGATCCATGCGAGATGGAGCTGGCGAGGGCGATATGAAGCGCTTGCACAAGGGGCGGCTCGGACTTCAGATCATCGATGGTGGTCAGTCATACATACGCGGAAGCGACTCCGTCGACTCAAGTGGCTCACGAGTTCTGGGTCGGACTCAGACCAGGCAAAGTTAAACGCGCTGGACGCAGGCTTACCTGGTTTCTTCAGGTTGCGGTCAGACATGAGTCTATATACCAAAGTGCAGCGCTCGCAGTAAACGGATGAGTGGTATTTGGCAGTCACAGGTACAGTAGTGCTATGCCCGCCCGGCATCGATATCGATTCCACCCACGAGCCTTAGAGCGTCTCTTACAATTTGGTTTTCATAAGCTTGGAAGCCGGAAGGTACATTGGGCGCCTTCCTGTTTTGTCTCGTTGCTTTCGGCTGTGCGTGTTCTATAGAGCGCCCCGAATTGCGCCGGATGACTGATTTCAATGAGTTGTGAGTGCTCTGAGCCGCATAATTTCGCCAGTAATCTAGTACATTAAAGAGACAGAAGAATATCTGAGAATTTGATAGAGAACATGCGACCATATTCCATCTCTATTCGACTACTTCCTTAGCACTCTTATTCGTAAGCGAGGACGGTCTTCAATCGTTATCAAAGTCCTCAACCACTGTACAGCCTCTAAATCTTCTTGAACTTTCCTTGCATTCTCGACAGGTTATAAGCCGCCGATATCAAGGTGACGTGTCTGTAGTAGTTCGCGGTCAGAACAGCCATCCACCTCCGTGAACTACAACGGAAACGTACGTGAATCCTTGCACAGCATTCCCAAGTCTGCATCATGATGAATGAAGAGTGCGTGAAGAGCAGAAATTTAGACTCACGCTTCGCCTGCGGCGGATATCTCTTCCGTGCACAGGCCGAGATGGTTCGTGTACTGCAGGAAATCCTGCGAATACGTAATCACTACTCAGTCGAAACCAAGAGTGAATCGTCTATAAATTCACCTCGAACATCGCAACAGCTTGAGTCAGCATCCCCTTGTCATATTCTCCCGCGCGAGCAAGGGCTTCAACACACCTATATCATCAAGAAAGGCCACTAGGTTAATGGATGCAGATGCACAATGTCGAGGACAGACTGACCAAAGGGTACACAGACAGAACGTGCCTTCTTCTCCGCCAACACCATCATCTGTCTTGTTCACGTCGTATCGGTAGACGAGACCCTACACGCTCCTTCGTGAGTATCAGTGCATGGCCAGGAGTGTTCGCGCATACATTCGAAGTCAATCCTCCCCGTTCAGGGCTTCGGAGGATCTGACGCAGAGTACTGAGGAAGCGAGGGTCGGACTGGAGACTAGATTCAGCATCATTGCGGATAGAGCGCAGAACTACTGACCGGTGTCATGAAGAAGACAAGTGGCATAATAAGAAGCGCCGAGTCAAGAACATCTTGATCCTCATAGCTCTGTGCAAAGAACTGCTTTTCAGGGTTCCATGCCTTATGCATAATTTCCTCATAGAGCGAGTCGCGTGCAACAAGCCACTCATTTCTTTTAGGACACGGGAGGGAACGCTTGTCGGCGAGACGAAGGCCTAGCAGACATGAGTTAAAATGAGGTTATAATCCAAATTGCCCACCTCTGTCAATTGCAACCCTTCGGGTTCATCAAGTTCTGAAATCGTTCAATATGCGAAGATCGTAATACACTCACCACATCATGATCTATGTATTCAGCCAACAATTCAGTGGTACACTATATTGTTACAATGTTGTCTTACCTTGGAATACTGTTAGAGCGGAGGTCAATAAATAAAGAGCCACAAACTAATGGAAGGAGCGTACTGTGAAATGGCGATGCCGATTTCGCACTTCCCTACGAAGCAGCAGAAAGGTCATAAATGCAATATAAACTAGTGCATAACCAGTCAATCTTACCAGATGGATCTAGACACACAAAAAAAACACTTCAGTGAGATAATGATTACGCAGAGCTTGATGAAGTACATACAGGTCGGGTTCGTGTAACTTCGTGATCACAACTGGAACGAAGATGAGCTCCTAGCTTGTTCCCGAAAAGATCACCCACAATCTACGCTATTGATGCAATAACAAGTGTGGCTAGTATTCCTCAATCCAACAATTGCAGCGAGACACTTACATCTCCCGAACAGCAACCCTATATGCTTTTAGTCAAATTCGAGGATGGCTGTCATTTGCAGAGGTGCTTACCATGTATCATAAGACTGGCACAATATTCGGTAAGATGTCTTATACGAGGAATGCGGGAGACTCACCAGAGGTTTGCCGTACTAGGGCCCGAACAGCGTAAATGCTTCAAAGTTCAGTCATGACTGTAAGTGAAACTTCGCACCTTTTGCGAGAGGTAGATACAGTCCATCCTAAACCGCGAGTATCAATCACTTCTTGAAGAGGTATCATGCCATATCTGCTGAACTGGAATCAGCTCGTGGTTCTCAAGCACGTTACGTCAATAACGTACAGTGCGTACAATTCGCCATATATGTCCTGTGCAAGACCGCCAACATAATAAATCAGAAACGAGCTATACTTCCGAAAGGCGTGCCTTACTAATTGCACATGATCGATAGCTCCGTTTCCAATCCTGCGGATGCTTGACCGATTAGACAGAAGCACAAGACATGAGCCACAACGTTGAATTATTACCGGACAGGTTTAGATCCTCTATGACCGTCCAAATGTGTCAGCTCTTCTTCTGGGAAGATATTCTCTCCTATGCACAACAGAAAAATTCGTCGGAAGAAAAAATGGAAGTAGAACACAGGAGCTGACCATGAATTGTATACCTAATAGAGTCATTTGGGGTCATTCTAGGTCAGTCTGGATATCACAGTCAAAAATTTGAGAAGCTTACATAATGCTCAGTGAGCCGTCAGGATTCTTAGTCCGCAGACGATCAAGAATAAACTCCATGTAAGCTGAATATAGCCAGGATCAATAAGTATCCCAAAGCCACTTCCATGACACTAGCACAAACCATTGGCCTCGTGTGTGAATCCGAGGCGAATAAGAGCGTATAATGTGAACGATGAGTCACGAATCCATGAAGCCCTGTGAGGACAAGGATGAGAGACTATAGTTTCGGTTGTTACGGAGAAGTTACCGATAATCCCTGAAATAGTGATCAGTCTGCCGTCGTAATGCATCATCGCTAGATAATCTTGCACATACCAGTTCCTCGTTCCTCCAATGTATTCCGGAAGGCTGAACGTCGGACTGGCGACAATAGCTCCTGCAAAATTAAGATCAAGTACAAAATACAATATTTGAGTGTACGATATTCTTACCGGTAGGTTCAAAGATGAGCAGTTTTAATGCGAGCGCACTGCGATGGACGGCTTCCTTCCACGACCCCTCGTAGGTTGATCGGCGAATCCAAGCATTCCAGTATTGATTCGTACCCTAAATTCAATGAGAAAGATCGCAATGAACGAACCAAGTAACGTGAAACTACCTCTAGAAGCTCGCGTAAAAGACCCTGTAGTACAGCTGTGGGTAACGTTCTGCTCGACTGTTGCCAAACTTACCTTCGTCAGGAAAGGATCCTCGACCGGTCGGAGATCTGATACCCCTCGAAGGAGTTCTTGGAAGGACATATGTTGGTAAATTCCAAGCTGCCTTTTGGGGCCAGGGATACTCACTCTCGTATGGAACACCAAGTTCTTCAGCTTTCTCGGGAGTTGGTTGGGCGGCCGGAACACTCTTCTCAGGGACAATCCTCAACACAAAAGTGACTGTCTGCCCCTCGCGCAGGACGAGGTCACTACAGATACCAAGACCGAGATGACCTTTCTCGGTTAAGTCGAGCTCTCTGAATTCCACTCTTGGTTCGGGGACGTTGTCCAGCGATGATTCCATAATGTAGCGAAGATCTAGAGAGAGATTTGCCTTTGGGGAATGAAATACGACTTTCTTGTGCGTGGAGTTCGAAGTTGAGAAATTTGCAGGAATGGATTCGTCGTCAACAACAGCCATTGTGTGAGACGCGCGGGCATAATTAAATGCAGGTGCGCATTCCACACGAATGGGGAGCGAACCCCGAATAACCTGGCCATTTGTTTCTGACGTTAGCCGGTGCCATGCGTAAGATACAAACTTTATTGACCTCCACTCGACGGATAAGCCATGTCAGCAAGGGCCTAGCAGTAGAGCTAGACGGCTGGCGAGGTAAAAAATCTAGGCGCACATACATTTGAGATTGTGAAAATGTGATGATAGGAGCGATGATTTACCGGTCACAGTGGCGACCCCATGATCGTTCAAGAATCTAAGATCCTGGTCAGGCAGAACAAGTAATCAATCTATGACATACTTGGTTTGCAGAACCTAGTCAAAATCCATGATCAGTTCATGTCAATGTGCCACGCAGATATGTTTCATACATTTGAACTCGGAAGGTAGCCCTGCTTTGTGGAAAAAGGGATTGTAGGACAAATTGAGAAGTGTCCTCCCTGTAACCAAAAGAACTACTCAGGAAGCCTTCTGATTAGAGTATATGCGCAAAATACCTTATCTTTATCCAGAATTCTGGCGAAGACAGAGGGAGAATCGAAATTGGGAATGCAATAGCTCTCGACTGTGGGTGTCGTTGATGGGGTTAGGGTTACGAAAGGAGACAATCAAAACACATCGTAGGTATAGTGCGACCGAATTGCGCGAATAACAGCCCGAGAGAATTTTCACGCGCACCGCAAAAGACCGGGCGAGACGAAACGATAGGAGAAGCAGACTTACTGGACCCGTCCACGCTGACCTATCGTCGCAAACGAATGTGAATATTGCCGCCGCGGACCAAATGGTGCAAAGACGTACCAGTGCAGCGGTCCGTAAGTTACCAATTCTACTCAAAGCGAATCCCGTGGTGAGTGGTTCGTATTCAATCTGGGGATAAAACATGAACATTCTCACAGGCCATGATCGGCGAGAGCAACATAGTCTCTCTGAGCTTGATTCATCTCGAAGTTACCCTATACAATTGCAAGGCTATACAAGCTGAAAGACGTGGCTGCAAGTCGAGACCTATGGAGGGACGGAGAAGCCAGGCTTGAGATTTAAAGCTTGAAAGGCGCCATGGCGATAGTCACATGCACTACAATTAGTAACAGTATTAGTTTCCTAATACAAATCGGCAACAAATCGGCCTAAAATGAATGCAATCGCAGTTGATACTTCACTCAACCTTGTGCATTGGCCCAACCTCCGACTTACGCAGACCCTACCAGCAATGAATCCTGTCTTTTACAAGTCAGTAATGAGTCAAGACTAAGCGGACTGACGATGAACGTAGAGCGGCACTGTCTAACCGGCGTAGATAGCGATGCGATGTGAAATAAATATGAACCTTCCCATGCAATGTGATCGTGGAACGTGGGATAGATGGAAAACATATCGATTCCGGTGATATTAACGGATTGACAGAAGGACAGCGAACCATGGAATTAATCCATCTCATCGAACTCGCTAGCGCAGGATTCTCAGTTCCAACGAACCAGAGGAAGTGTATTACCACTTACAGACAAGGATGCCACGAGGTTACTGAAAGATGTTTACGATGTGGTAACAACTTAAAAAAACACTGATAGTAGTTGAATGTTTTTGTGACCCGCTTGAAGGTGACCTAGACAGATGAACGGATAATTGCCTGAAAGTCGCTAGATGGAGATCTCTCGGCTTAGATTGGTTCGGTGCGCATAACTGTCTCAAACCAAGAGCTTAGCGAATCGAAACTCGTAGACCAATGGATAGGGGTAGAGTGAGTTTAGATAAGACAACGGCTGCAAGTATGCTAAGCCGGCTCTCTAGAACATCGCATCTATCTGCTAAACATCTTTTATCGTATACCCTCTCAATTTCCTGGCGCGCCAACTTCAGGCAGATTGGCACCCATGTTGTCGGGGATAGCCAGGGTAGGATCCGTCTGACTCTTCAAACGACCGCCAAATAGCACGGGTCCATTCTCCTCGCGGAACGCCGCAATGCGCTTCTCAACCTCTGGGCGGAAGTGTCGCATAAGACCCTGGATAGGCCATGCAGCAGCATCACCCAGGGCGCAAATCGTGCGGCCTTCGACTTGTTTACTGTTGTCCTAATTAGTGCACTGATACGCATACCAGAGGAAGTTCACCTACGTCAGCTCAAGAAGCATATCAATCTCGCGTTGGTGGCCCCTGCCCTCCACAAAGCGATCCATCATGTTCATCATCCAGGTAGTGCCCTCTCTGCAAGGAGTGCACTGGCCACACGATTCATGTTTATAGAACTGTGGACAGAGAAGGATTTGAGTACCCAGACAATATAGTTGTGAATAGTGATTAAGATACAAACATGGGCGAAGCGAGCGATGGCCTTAACGATGTCAGTGCTCTTGTCCATTACAATAACAGCACCGGTTCCAAGACCAGATTGAGCATCCTTGAGGGAATCATAATCCATCCTATATAGCGGTAAGTTGCCATATAAAATGAGTATGAGATTATGCGAACGCACAAGACCTCCTCGCATTTCTTGATCGGTAATACGGGAACGGAGCTTCCACCAGGAATGATACCAAGCAGGTTATCCCATCCACCCCTAACACCACCACAGTGCTTCTCAATGAGCTCCTTCAAGGGTATACTCATCTCCTCCTCGACCACACAGGGATTGTTCACATGACCGCTGATACAGAAGAGTTTCGTACCCTGGTTCCGTTCCCTTCCAAAGCCGGCAAACCATGCAGATCCACGACGACAGATTGTGGGTGCGACAGCAACAGTTTCCACGTTCGCGACGGTAGTCGGGCAACCAAACAAGCCAACGTCGGCGGGGAAGGGGGGCTTAAGGCGAGGCTTTCCTTGTTTCCCTTCCAGACTCTCGATAAGCGCGGTCTCCTCACCGCAGATGTATGCACCTGCCCCACGATGGAGGTAGATATCGAATGCGTAACCACTCCCGCACGCGTTTTTGCCGAGGAAACCGGCGGTATACGCCTCATTAATGGCCTGCTGCACATGAGACGCCTCTTGGTAGAACTCTCCACGAATATAGATGTATGCAGCAGTTGCGTTCATGGCGCGGCCAGCGACGAGACAGCCTTCGATAAGCTTGTGCGGGTCGCCACGAAGAATCTCGCGATCCTTGCAAGTCCCTGGCTCACCCTCATCAGCGTTTACAACCAGGTAGCGAGGTCTAAAGCGTGATCAATCCCTAGAAAGACAGTGCAGGGGAGTGAACAGACCTAGGATCCTTCTCCCATCCAGGCTTGTTCATGAAACTCCACTTAAGGCCACTGGGGAAGCCGGCACCTCCACGTCCTCTCAAGCCTGAATCTTTGATAGTTTGGATGATCCAGGAGTCGCCCTTCAAGATGATATCCTTGGTGCGATGCCAGTCCCCGCGTGTCTATTTTATATCGTTTCGGTGAGCAATATGGTTGATGGAGAGTCGTGCTTGAGTTTAAGAGCATTCCAACTTGTTTATCGCGGGAAGCTCACCTGTGCACCCTTAATACCATGGTCGTGCCTGCAGTATGCATTTGTGAAAATACGGTCCTGGTCCTTCAAACCTCCATAGCGTCGAACAGGAGGGTCTTGCACGGTCGCAAATGAGCGACGCAGCTTCGCACGGAACGGCCGTGCAATCCCTGTAAACGGTGAAACAATGACTTCAATGAATAACAGCTTCACAGTTGAACATGACATACGAGATGAAGACGGCGGTCTGAACATCGTCAGAAACAATGAACAACCTCAGTTCGTCGTTGTTACAGTCGATGACCAGTCGGTTGGATTGGCGCCAGTCGGGTCGTGCCGGGTGCTCATGTGGCAATCGCAAACGCCCACTCGAATGTTGTTGAACGGCAACGACTCAACGACCTTACTTTAGGCTTGCAATTGAATTCAACTGCCGCAATCTCTAACTCTCCGTCGCCCAGGGTTCAATTTGACACACACGAGTTGGACCTGATACTCTAGTGACCTTATGGCTTCATTCCGTCTAACGATCTGAACGCGCTGCCGACCAACATTAGTCTAACTCATGTCTACACAAGAATATCTCCCTCTATAGGTCTCAATTCAGAGGGTCTTTCCACGAAAGACAAGTCTCTGCCTTGGCAAGTTATCAGCTTTTTGTCGCTACCGTCTAAATACACTCAAATTTGGTCATATGCTTCCGACTACAACCAAATAATTGTGATGTCTAGACCGGGTATGGGTTCTTACTGTGGTCTCCGAGAACATGCAACGAAGCCTTCACGCTACTAAAGTTTGCGCGGCGTCTTCTATTTTCCGCAAATGGACTCTATTGGCGAGATCCCAGCATGATGCTATGCGGATCCACAGCTAATTGTGCCAATTGCCTGTGCTAATTGATGTTGAAGTTTATGAAATTTCTTTTTTCTGCTCGACTCTGAGGATAACCAGGCGCAGCAGGCTCTCCAGCGCTTGCAGTTTCACAATCCGACCTGACTGAGTAACTCTCGGCTGCTTGACGATGTGTATTTATATTCAGGAGACAGCTAACTTGCTTCTGCAATCGAAGTTTGCTTTGCGCGTAGTAAGTCGAGACTGCTGAATGTCATCTGACAATGCCTTCTGCAGTTTCTATCAGTCAGCTTATCTATGATAAGTTAGCATCGCCCATACCGAGATGGATCCACTGGTGGGACAATGTAGTCACTCGACATAGACATATATGTGTGTTACATCCATCGAGCACCGTCCCATTCCCCATAGCCACGAGCAGATAATACCGTCACATGCCTTCATATCTGGTAACAGGAGCGAGTAGAGGGATTGGGTTAGGGCTGGTGATAGAGCTGGTGAGCTTTTTATGGTATCTGCGTAGTACACACTGGCACAAACGTTTTCTGGCCACAGCTACAAGACCCAACGAACGTTGTGATTGCAACGGCCCGTGACCCGGCTGGTCAAAGGGACTACAAGATCTTTCCACGATATATAACTCGGAGCAATTTGCGCTTGTTGCCATGGACGTGACTCACGAAGGAAGTGTCGGACGAGCTGTCCACAAAGTAGGAGAGTTTCTCCGACCGCGTGATATGGCACTTGATTGTCTCATCAACAATGCGGGTGTCTCTAATCAGCCGCTGACCAGGTTCGAAGATGTGTACGTGTAGCTCGTCTCGGCTTTCATTCATGATTCAGTGAATGAAGCATCGATACAGTAAGCTGACTCATTAGCATTTCTGTATTGACTTGAACATTTTGGAGCAGGAGCTGCGAGTCAACACGATCTCGCCTCTGCGAGTCATGCGCGCTTTTCTTCCTCTTGTTCGTGGTGGGATGGAGAAGAAGATCGCGTTTATTTCCTCCAGTCTTGCATCTTTAGAGCTCGCGCCAAAGTACAGTGGGCTAGGAGAATCGTATTCAATTACGAAGGCTGGCTTAACATGTGGGTCCAAGCTGTATGATCTATCGTTGGTTAGAGTCTTTCTCATCTTGTTTCAGGCTGGGACGAAAGTAGGGAGTAGCTCTGCGTGCGGAAGGCATCACCCTGGTAGTCATGCATCCAGGTGAGCCATCTTTTTTGTTGCCGCGGTACAGCAAGAGATCAATTCGATGGCAAATGATTATAAAGGCTATGTTGCGACAGATATGGTTCAGCCCATCGTGAGGTGGATGGACGAGAATATACCAGAGGAGCCGTGTGTAACACGGCTCGAGTCTGCAAAAGGATGCATCCATGTCATAAAAAATGCCACCCTCGAGCAGGCAGTCAGATTCTATTCGTTAAACGGTGCAGAGCTTCCCTGGTGACCGAGTGGATTGGAATGATGAATTTCTAAAAAGCGCGAGATGATGTCTTCTATGTATTGACCATAGAAAATGCGGAACCCACCAGCGCTGCGATACCTACGAAGCTGCGAAGTCGCATAATCATTCAACTCCGACGGACTGCACCCTGTGCCTGTCGTCAACGTCAGACTCAGCGCTCAGGCTGTTAACTCAACATGGCTTTCACCCTCAAATTATACCGGAGCCATCATCAGATATTTCCTTAAGACCTTGCGTTCGGTCTAGTCTTGTCTTCCCGATCGCGTGCAATGGTTCTATACTGAGATGGTCCCAGCCCGGCAATAACAAATGCACAGACATGTACTGCTACGCGGAGATCCGGCTCCAAGTCGGGCGCATGACCACGGGGCTCATGAGGGTGCTGTCACGTACGAGGCCATTTTCAACCCGCCTTTCCGAATCTTATGTTTATCAGGTCGCGGCTGGCCGCTGAAATATCGGTGGATTGTCCAGTCAGATGGTCACTTCCGAGAGGCGCGACCGGAACGACGTCCAGCTTTTCTCTGCACAAAATAATGACATCCGCTTCGGTTCATTGTCTCTACTGCCATGGAGGCCCATACACATAACCTCGATAGCGGATGGTCCTGGAAAGAGCGCGACTTTGGAGTAGCATCTGTGCTTGATGAGGTGCCATCGCGAGCAACACCGGAAGCTCTTCCTTCTACTTGGGCATCCGCGCAAGCGTTTCCATCTGAAGTCCACGTAGAATTGTTGAAGGCAGAACGTATCCCAGATCCATTCATTGGATTCAATGAACACAAAGTGCAATGTACGCATTCATACATGATCAGATTCATGTCTACTCACTTGTTTAGGGATTGCGGAGAGGGAATGGCTATGGCTCTCCAGTTTTCCGTTTTCTTCACGCGGGGATAACGGGAAGGTCGAGCTGTGTTTTGAGGGGCTTGACACCTTTTGCGACGTGTATCTGGTAAGTCTAGAGTCATGAATTCGTCTGCTTGTTATTTTGGCATCTTCCAATTGATCATTTCAGCTTCTCTACGCCGGTACTAATATGGGAGCTCACAGAATAACAGAAAAATTCTGGCTGCCGATAATATGTTCCGGTCATTTATTGTACGTGTCAACAATGTCAGCAGGTATCCATGTGTTCAATGTGTGTACATCAGGTCCCTCTAGACGTTACCACACTGCAGGATCAGAATAACCAACTGCTTCTGCACTTCAAATCCGCGAAGAAAATCGCGAAAGACCTCGAGGAGAAATATGGACGCGTTCGTGCAGGCTCCACGAACCTCGGGGACCCCAGCCGCGTGTACGTTCGTAAGGCACAATACGGGTGGAGGTCAGTGGTTGGATATTCATAGCATCTACTTGATATGATTGACTTTGGATAACTGGACCAGGTGGGATTGGGTAAGTTCATGCCGCTTTTGTATCACGTCAACACATCAGGTCGTTGAAATTATACTATATACAGGGTCCTGAGCTAATGACTTGTGGGCCGTACCGGCCCGTCAGCTTAATCACCTATGCCGCTCGCTTTTCGTCTGTCTACCCTCGCGCCATTGTATCCCATGCTCCAGTTCTTTCGCCTTTACTGAAAGTGGACATCGCGCTGGCTGGTGTGCTCACTGCTCCAGAATCAGCTCGTTTTATTCTCCGGAACTCACGAAACAAGACTGTCATACGAGAGGAGGATGTCCCACTGAGTATTTCGTACCATGATCGCGAGAAGTTGGAGATCAACGATGCGATTAGCTGGGACTTGCGTGATTTGGTAGAGCTCTGGTGGCCGGTAGGCTACGGGAAACAGACTCTATACGAGATGGAGGTTGTGCTTCTCACGCAGGTGTGCCTCACCCCACGCATGGACCCATGCCGTCCTTGGCGATAGCTTCTAACATACCAATAGGACTCAAACGTCTTGGACAGGCAGATTCAGCGAATCGGGTTCCGCAGGGTAGAGCTCGTGCAGGAACCTCTCCGGGAACCTGATCAGTATGGCCAGGGAAGTACGTTCCTCTTCGAGGTAAACGGGGTCCGCATGTTCATGGGAGGTGCGCACATCCCTTACTACACATTCTGGACATGTAGTCCAACTTCAAGTTGTGATTAGGATCGAACTGGATTCCCGCTGATAGTTTCCTGACTGAGCTTACCCCCGAGCGATACCGGGCATGGTTAACTCTCATGCGGGATGGAAATCAGAACATGGTTCGCCTGTGGGGCGGCGGCGTGTACGAGCCGGATATATTCTACGACATCTGCGACGGTATGCGCGATCTGTTCTAAGACATCTCGATGCTAGCTAATATCAATAAATAGAGCTGGGTCTTCTTGTCTGGCAAGACTTCCAGTTCGCGTGTGGCGTGTATCCGGCGCACGATGCGTTTGTCGCAAGTGTCAAGGCCGAGGCGGAAGACAATGTGAAACGCCTCAGGCATCATCCATCTATCGCGTTGTTTTGCGGGAACAACGAAGGTAGGCCCACCCTGTTACATGTTAAGTCAGCCTCACGTTGCTGTGTAGATTATCAACAAGTGCTGCAGTGGGGTGGTACGCGCTCTCTGAATGGCAATATTCCACACAACCTTCACTCATAAAGATGCAGGGATTGGAGAGTTACCAGCACGTCTTATATACGAATCAGTTCTACCTGCCGTAGTCTCTGAGCTGACCGACCCCGCGATACCATATCATCGTGGGTCACCGTACGGTGGGAAAGGATGGGACACGGCGGATCCTACGGTTGGCGATATTCACCAATGGGATGTGTGGGCTGGCAGAGAGCGGCCATGGCAGGAGTACGGACAAATGGGTGGACGCTTTGTCAGGCGAGTGCTAATCCGACTCCTGGAGAGTCATCTAGTTGATGAGTGCTCCTTGCTCCCTAGTGAATTCGGCATACCTTCTATACCTGATATTCGAACAGTAAACTACTGGCTAGCGGAAAACGAGGATCAACGATGGGCACAATCCAAGTTGATGGCGCAGCATAATCGGGCAGGAAATCACGAACGACGTTTTGCAATTGTGATGAATGAGAACTTCCGGCTCACGGGTGACCTTGAGACGTTCGTACGACAGAATATGTGCTGACTTCGTGCTGGCTTCTCATGCGATCTATCGCAGGCACATCTATAATACCCAGCTGATGCAGTCAGAGGCAGTCGGCCTCGCGTATAGGGTGTGGAGGCGGGAGTGGCGAGGAAGAGGCAAAGAATACGTACGTCTCTGCTCCTGTGTTCAGCTTGATCACTCAATGATAACGTCTGTTATGCAGACAGCCGGGGCACTAGTGG